TATGTAATGAGACAAGCATCCATGGATTTTAGTATCCAAGGGGAATACTGGAACCAAATCCAAGCAGATACCAAGGGCTCACTCTAAATGTTTTAAAGCCCTTAAAAACTTGGGACTAATATTTCAGAAACATGACCTCTTTTCATATGAATCTGCCCAGAATTTGAGAACAGCAGAGGCCCTGCTATGTAACTCACAAACCCTGTAAATAAACTAGATCGGCTTTTCTTTGGAGCAGTACCTCAGTTGTGGAAGGGTCCTGCCAGACAGGCCCAACATGCGGAACCTGTCTTGCTTTTATCTGGAGCCCAAAGGAGTGGGAGGGCAACCTCTTCTCTCCCCAGTCCTCAATTCCTCCCTCAAAACTTACCGGAGAGGCTTGCAGGAAGCACAGGCCCCTCTGCACAGTCCTCCTGTTGCTTGAAAATGACATGTCAAGAGGTGGGGGGGGGGGAGGCGGGAATTTCCCCTCCCACCTCCTGACACGTCATTTGCAAGCGTCAGAAGGACTCTGCTGGCAGGCCCTCTCGGGTACATTTCTTTTGCGGGGAATGGAGATTGGACACCATCCCAGGTCCACCTTTGGTTAACCTGGTATGGCAGCTGGCCACCCCCCCCCCCCGAGGGAAAGCTCAGGATTGTGGGAGTGAGTGGGGATTTAAAATCAGGAGGGAGCAGATTATTTTAACCCTCCTGAGTTTTAGGTAAGTGTAGAAAAAGCCAAACTCCCTCCCAAAGTAAGTCAGGATGGCTCCCAGTTAAACCACCATCAGGTGACAGCCAAAACTTCATGATTCCATAGAGCCTTTGGTGTGTGTTTAATGGGTTTAACCTGCGTTTAAAGAAATTTTATTAAATTAATTTCATCATGTAGCAACTTGGGAGACCTGATGAACTGAAAGGTACTTAACCAAAATGTCTAAATAACAGAATTTTAACTCTGTTGTTCCAAAGAAGAGACAGAGAAGGCAAACCTATTTTTTATCATATTGCATAATGAATGAATCATGCATTTAGAGAGGAAGGGATTTTCATTCTTCTGATTTGAAAACTCTGTAACTTTCTTCAGATAAAGAAAGAAATGCAATTAAGGAAACAAATGTCAAACATTAGCCTTGAATGCTAGTATTAACAGCATTCATGAGAAGGGAGGCAATCGAGCCAAACCTTTTATAGTACTGTGAGGCTGAGCCAAGATAGTTTCCAAAGCATTTCAATAAAATGCTTGCTTAACTCATAAACAATTCTTTGCACTTTGGCCAAAAGTGTTATTATTGCTTCCAGTCTGGCTTTGGGGTGATAAAGCAACATGGGGGTACCACCATCAAAGCAATCTGTTCCCTCACCCACACAAAGTTACATGTGACTGACAGAATATAAACAAACATGTCACTGAAAGCAACATGGTATAGATGATGATATCCAAATACACATCGGAATATGCTTTTCAATCATCCCAAGATGTTCATAGGGTTTTAAAAGGTAAGGAATACTCAGAGATGATGTTGCCAGTTTATTTCCCTGAAATACAGCCTACAGCATCTGTTATTCATGGCAGCCTCACATCCAAAGCTGACCCTGTCCACCTTCCAAGACCAGATGTCAAAATGTAAAACGTTAGACCTGTTAAAATATATTTTGTAGTTTGGGACCAGTCTTCCAACTGGCAGAGATTCTGACTGCTATGTTATTGGTTTCCCTCCCAATTTGGTGTCATCTGCAAAGCCCATGTCATCTCTTAGAATCATAGAATCATAGAATCATAGAATCAAGAGTTGGAAGAGACCTCATGGGCCATCCAGTCCAACCCCCTGCCAAGAAGCAGGAATATTGCATTCAAATCACCCCTGACAGATGGCCATCCAGCCTCTGTTTAAAAGCTTCCAAAGAAGGAGCCTCCACCACACTTCTGGGCAGAGAGTTCCACTGCTGAATGGCTCTCACAGTCAGGAAGTTCTTCCTAATGTTCAGATGGAATCTCCTTTCTTGTAGTTTGAAGCCATTGTTCCGCGTCCTAGTCTCCAAGGAAGCAGAAAACAAGCTTGCTCCCTCCTCCCTGTGGCTTCCTCTCACATATTTATACATGGCTATCATATCTCCTCTCAGCCTTCTCTTCTTCAGGCTAAACATGTCCAGCTCCCCAAGCCGCTCCTCATAGGGCTTGTTCTCCAGACCCTTGATCATTTTAGTCGCCCTCCTCTGGACACATTCCAGCTTGTCAATATCTCTCTTGAATTGTGGTGCCCAGAATTGGACACAATATTCCAGGTGTGGTCTAACCAAAGCAGAATAGAGGGGTAGCATTACTTCCTTAGATCTAGACACTATGCTCCTATTGATGCAGGCCAAAATTCCATTGGCTTTTTTTGCCGCCACATCACATTGTTGGCTCATGTTTAACTTGTTGTCCACGAGGACTCCAAGATCTTTTTCACACGTACTGCTCTCGAGCCAGGCGTCACCCATTCTGTATCTTTGCATTTCTCCAATCATCTATAAAGAGGTTGGACACTATTGGGTTCAGGACTGAAACTTATGACATAATAACAGATCACTGGTGACTATCATTTAGATTTGGTCTGCCAATCTGCTACAAATTCAGCTAACAACCAGAGTAAGTCTAGCCACATTTTCTACAAAATCTAATGGGGAAATTTCAATGAAAGTCTTACAGATATCAAAATAAAATACCTCTGATCTATCAACTTTCTATCTCACTCTCACTCACCTCCACCACCTCAAAAACGTACAGTAAGTTTGGCATTACTTGTTTTGAGAAGTAAATTCTAGCTTCTAGTAACCATATCATTCTTTTCTGGGTAGTCATAGACCAACTGTTTAAATATTTGCTTGGGACCTGTTCTAGATAACATTAAATTGCCAATTAGTTGTTGATTGGTTGTGCTTACATATGTTTGTGCATGCCACACTGCATTACAGATATATCAGGTTCTGCTTCTATGGATTACAACATCCATGGCTTGAAAATATTTTTTTAAAAAAAATCCAAAAGCAAACTTTGATTTTTCCATTTCACATACGAGGCACAATTTATTCTGCCATTGTATATAATTGTGTATGGAATATCAGCATCCATTGATGCTTGGTATCTACTGGGGGTCCTGGAACCAAATTCTAACAGATACGAAGGACCCACTGTATACCCTTTTTCAACCTTTTTACCCCGGATGAACCTGAAAAATACTCAGGTTTCAGAGAAAATTGTAAAATTGATCTATCCCTCTATCTATCTCTCTATCTAAAAAGGTGTAGATTTTTCCAATCATAATCAGAACCCCTAGTGATCTATTATGAAACCAGAGGGTTGCACAGAACATATTCAGGAAACCTTGCTGCAGAATAATCATGGGTGCTACGTCACCACTAGAAATCACAAGAGTGCAGATGTATTTTCAAATGTAAAAAAAAGTGTTGAAGCAGCAGCAATAGTTGTGAGCTGGTTCTGTAAATACTGCCTTCTAGGTAAGTGTGAGTATGACTGAAGCTATATAGCAAAATCTCTGAAAGCCTTATTTGGGCAAGTTCGCACTTCATATAGTACTCCACATAGCTTTAATTGAAATAGGTGCATCCAATGGAATCCTGGATTTTATAGCTAGGTGCAAGACCTAGAGCCCTTGGCTAATGAGCTCTAGAACCTCACCAGCCTGTGAGCCCCAAAATCCTATACAATGGAGCCATAGAAGTTATTGTAATAAAAAAAATATTTTAACTATGTAAGGGCTCCTAGACCTAAACATTTTATCCTGCCTTTCCTCCAACAAGCTAAAGGCAGTTTAAATGGCTGCCCTCATCCCTATATTAACTCCACGATAACCCTGTGAAGTAAGTCTGAGTGACAAAGAGTGAGTGATCCAAGCTTACGCAGTGAATTTCACAGATCAATGATAACTAGAATATGGGATTCTCGACACTACAGGCACAGGTGCTCTAAGACTGAATTTACACTGCCTTATATCTCAGGATCTGATCCCTGATTATCTGACAATATGAACCAATATAATCCAGTTCAAAGCAGATAATCTAGGATCAGAACCTGGGAGGCAGTGTAGATCCAGCCCAAATTAGATTTAGAGTTGTGCTGGGTCAAATGGCCGTTCCTATGAACATTTGAAAGTCCTTGATTTTGTCCCCCTGACTTCAGTGGGAAAATCAAGAAGACCTTATTGAAATAAATAAGAATGCTGAGGAGCTTTGGCAGGATCACATTCATTCCATTCTTTAATGTGCATAGGCTTGAAAAAGGCTACTTACAAAAGCATGGCCATGCTTTACTACAGTCAAGTGCAAGACTGTTTATTTGCAATGGTTCTGGATGACACCCAATGTTCTGTATTTTCAACTAAAACTTGCTTTGCATTCAGACAATGGCAGCCTATTGAAAAGTGCCTGCAAACTTCTTTTAATTTCCTTCTGATCTTTGACAATGAATAATGTTTTGTGTTTTGGACAAGCAAACTAATTATTAAAACTAAAATATGAGATTACATTTGCACATGCAGTAAGACTACATTTTCAGTGCAGCATGCAAGGTTTTAGATATGTGACTTCCAATTCCTGTAATGGGCGCTATCTAGTTAATTCCCAATTCATTTCATGTAAACTTTACCCCATACAGTGCATATATAATAAGTAAAAGTGGTAATTTTCCGCTATGACTACAGGCGAGGAGAAAATGAAAACATTCTCATTTTGTGGAGGCGACTCACTACTGGAAGAGCGATTTTGCCGGCATAAAGCACAAATGTGGATCCTACAAACTAATATTACAAATCTCTCAGCATATTCCAGCAATGCAATTTCACATTCTCCATATGTAGATAGCGCTGTTCCTTCCAGACTGAAATATACTTAACTTGGGGGATCCTATAGTGAACGATATCACTTAGCAATTCCAAGCCATCATTCTGAGTGAAAGCATTTGTGTTCATTATTACTGAAGTAAAAGACAACCTGCCAAGTAGAAGATGGATTCTCACCTTATAACAAACTCATGGCTGTCAATCTCTTTTCCACATCCACTATCCAAGAGAATGCCAGAATTGCCTACAACGGCACATGTCTTAAAGCGACGGTTCTTCATTGGTGAAACTTCAGGAAGGAGGCTGTGTAGATCCTGGGAAATGTTTAGGGTACGGCGTCTGTCTAGCACATAATGGATTACATCTCCTGGCTTGAAGCTGCTTTTGACCACAGAGATGTCTCTTTCTGCATCCAAGAATCGAAGAATGTTTTTCCTGTATATCAAACAAGAAGAAACGCTTAGCAAACCTTTCTAAGGACATAACAAGAAACTTGCTGATTCATGCCGGAAGCTATGTAGTCCAACATTTATTCCCACAGTGGCCAACCAGATGGCTATGGGAAACAAGAGAAGATGAGCAGCACCTACTTGCAAATATTTTTTTCCACTCCTATCAATCAGCATCTGGCCTTTTAAAAGACCTTCTGTAATAGCCAGTTAGTAGGCAAATGGCTATATACGGTAATAAAAAGGACTTTGTCTTATTACTGAAGGACAGCAGAAAGATAAGCTTATATAGACAGGAGTTCCAAAGCATGAGAGCACTCACCAAGAAGCCCTTCTCATACATCCTCACCAAAATTACTGCATGGGTGACAGACAGAACTGAGAATAGGTCTTGGCTTGAATGTCTCAAAACTTAGGCAGGTTCATATGGGAAATTATGAGACTAGGTAGATGGATCCAAGACATATAGAACTCCATATATAATGTATGGGAACCAGTGTGGTGTAGTAAAATGTATACTTTTCAAACTGATGCTATGCTATTTTAACATATTGTGTATTTTGAATTGGCATGGGTGCTTTTAACTCTGTTGCGGCTCTATTTGTCTCACTCAATACATAGGGAGAGGAGTGTAAAAAAAAGGAGAAAGGGGAGCTGACTGTTGGACTAGGACTCTAGGAGATCAGAGTTTGAATCTCCATTTGACCATGGAAACTCACTGGGCAAGTCATATTCTCTGAGTCTCAGCATAAAGCAAAGGCAAACCCTCAGTTATTGCCAAGAAAAACCCATGTTCCTCTTAAAATTGCTGTAAGTCAGAAGGAACTTGAATGCACAATATAACAACAATAGTATGTAATAACTCTTCTTAAACCAGGAAGTAATTACCATATGTGAAAGAGAAAAATTATTTTGTTATTCAGATAAATTATATTTATATTATACAATGCTTTAATATGGAGTATTCATGCATCTCTGATCAGACAGAAAGTGGTGTCTTAAATGTTCTTGATGTACAAAAGTGCTTTTTATTTTACCAGTGAGATGTGTATTTTTAAAACTGTTGTTGGGTTACATAAAATTATGACATTGCATTTATAAATGTAAAGTTTGAAAGCTATAGCTTAATTTTAACATTTTGAAGTTCAGTTGCTATTGATCTATTTTTATGGATTGTATCCAAAATTCAATGCAGTAATCAATACCTTTAGAAGAATCAGTTTCAGATATATATCTTTGGAATAATAAATGTCATCCATGCTTCCAAAAGACTGTGTGAGATACAACAAATATTCATAGAATCATAGACTCCTAGAAGTGTAAGGGACCTCGTGGGTCATCATGTTCAACCCCACCACTCAGTGCAGGACCTCCAGCTAAAGTATTCCCAGCAGGTCTCTGTCCAGCTTATTTCTGTGAACTACTATTCTGTAACAAAATCTACTATCCTGTAATTTCAAACCATTATACCTGGTCATACACTCCTTTCTCTGATAGCCCTTGAAGTATCTAAATCGTGCAGTCATGTCACCGCCTAGTATTTAGGGCTGGGCGGTTTCATTTCGTTAATTCGTAATTCGTTAATAATTCGTTAATTTTGTTGATTACGAAGCGATAACGAACCATTCTGGAGCAATTTTTCAAAAAAACGAATTTTTAAACACGTTTTGCAAATGCTTCGTATTTCGTTATTGTATTCGTTTCGTTATTGTTCTGAGGTCGTTTCGTTATTATTTCCGCATGTCTGGGGCAAGTTTTTTGTTTAATTAGTGAAAAAAAATTATAATATCACACCAACAGTCAACAACAGAGGGAGAGGGGAGCTTCAGAAGTTTTTGGAGGTTTTTTAGCGTATTTCGCGGTCGCGTCCGCCATTAACGAATCGATTCGTTATTGTTTCGGAAATCGATTCGTTAATGTTTTGTAATTTTTTTCACATTTACGAAATTTCGTAAATATCGAACTTTTTAAAAGGAAAATTTTGTAATTATTTTAAATAATGAAACGCAAAAACCCCCAAAAAACGAATCGATTTTAGAAACAAATTTTTCCGTTGTTACCCAGGCCTACTAGTATTCTCTTCACTGTCCTCCTATAGTTCACTCTCCACACCTCTTATCACCCCGGTTGTCCTTCTCACAAAGTAATATTATCTTGACTATACCCTTGTTAAAATGAGGGACCCAGAACTAAACATAGGACTCCAGATAAGGCCCGACCATTGTGGAATATAGTGGGATTATTACTACTCTCAACTTGGAAAGCATGTTTTCAGTAATGCAAATTAAAATAGCATGTGTTTTTTTGCTGCAGCACCACACTGCTGGCTCATATTCAACATATGATCAGTAACAACCCCAAAGTTGTTTTTAGATGTAGTACTGCTGAGCCATGTATACCCCCTCGTATACCTGGACATTTGATTTTGCTGACCTAAATGCACAATTTTGTGTTTGTCTACTAAATTTCATTTGTATTAATTTCTGCCCCATTTTCTACTTTATCTAGATTCTTTTGAATTCTATCCCTAGATTTCAATATGTTAGCCATGCCATCCAGTTTTGTATCAACTGCAATTTGATAAGTATCCCCTCTGCTCCATCAGATAAGTCATTTATAAAATGTTTGAAGGAGAATGGCATTTGGATAGAATGCTAAGGCATTCCACACAAGACCCCCATAGTGTGCCATTGACCCCTTGAATTAAAATTTACAGAAAGACAGAATGAAGAGTAAATAGTAGAGGTGTGCAAATATTCATTTTAAAACCATAGATCATATGTAATACATAATTTTTGCATATACAAAGAGATATTAAGATACTCAGGGGAAGGGGGGCGCCTATACAAAAGCTTAAGTATTAAAACTCACCCAATGCATTTTCATTTGAATTCTGTAATGCTAAGAATCACTTTCCATTTTGAATGCAAGTGAGGCAAAGCTAAAAAGACTGCCATCCGTCTTTAAATTAAGGAGATAGGCTGCCTCTCACCAGGAGGAGAGAAAAGCAGCTGAGTCAGCTGGAAAAGAGACTGAGAGAGCACAGAATTCTGGGAAATGTAGTTTGGGAAGGCAAGGAGCCCTATGGCAGAGAATTTGGAAGGCACTGCCCTAAACAACATTCCCAGAATTCTGCTAAGCATCAGAAAGCCAAAATGAAGACAGGAAAGAGCTGTTTTCCCTCAGTAGCAACAAGCAGCCAGCCATGCAGTTTACAATTCTGCAAAGAGCACTGATTGATACTTCAGTACTGGTAAGTAAATCTGTCTTGGGCTGGAAAGAAATCCCTAAATTGAAGTTCTATCGGTTAACATTAAATGAGATAGCTGTTGCAGATTTTTTTTTTAAAGTTTTTGTCAAAACTTAAAAAAAAAACTTCCCCCGAATCAGTAGATATATGAATATTTCTGAAATTTGGTGGGAATGATCCCCTGTTATCTTGTGTCACTGTATAGAAAACTTATGGAGATAGCTCTTGTAGTGTTGTTGTTTTTTTTAAAAAAAATGTTGATTATATAAAATTTTCCAAAATATCTGTGGATGAACCCCTGACAGATGGTCATCTAGCTTATGTTTAACAGTGCAAAATCCTCAGGCAGTTATTTTTTGAGGAAAAGTGAAGAAAATAATACTGCTTTGCTTTGGGGCTTACTATTTTGCATGCAATTGTTTTCTATGCAAATAGCAATGTCTTCTATATTGCAAATGATATTGTGAATTTTGTCCAGACCAAATCCCTATGAGAACAATTGGGGGGGGGGGGAATCTACCTATGCAAAAACATTCCCATTTTGTGTAAAAAGTTGTGATACAGAAACAATGTTGCCATTATTGGATCTAGTCTCTACAAAAGTATTTCACACCTTTTAAAGACATCAAGATTGGCAGCTATAAACTCCATCCTGTGACAAGCTATTTATTTATTTGCAGTATTTATATCTCACCCTTCTCAACCCCAAAAGTGACTCAGAGTGGTTTTACAAAGGCAACAATTTGATGCCATATACACAACAACATATATAAAATAAATATATGCATTAAAGCATGAATGTAAAATCATATGAAGATTAAAACACATTAAAACGATGCAATCCGAAATTATAGGCAAAAAACAATTCTGACATTGCACATTTTCCATAATCCATTATTGCACTGCACTATTGTGGCAATTCAATAGTTTAGCTATCTACTGTGTGAATAAGTTCTTTTTGTCTGTCCTGAACCTTGTGCTCCTTCTCTTATCATTCTTTTCAAGTGATTTCTGTTCTCACTACCCAGGCATGTAGGGGTTCAATCCCCCCCCCCCATTTTTCAGGTTAAAAAAAACTAGTTTACTCATGAATTTTAACTGGTTAACCAAATCCCCATGCTAAGTCTATGAGACGCAAAAAATTAAGAGTCCCTCCAGAACTGCAAGCACTATCTCAAGCAAATATTGACAATTTATTCACACTGTCATTACTTGCAGCAATAGCCGATGTAGCGAAGCAACCAAGTTGGGGGGGGGTGTTGAATGCTCTCATTAAGGAGGCCAGACTTGGTGGAGGTGGTTGACAGGGGCGGAGCTGCAGGCTATTGAAGGCTGCTCTGCCCCCTGCTGTGCTCTTTGCTTTAGCGTGAGCTAGGAGGCAGGTTTCAACCCCCCCCCCCCCCATTTTTTTCTGGCTACGGCCCTGTCACCACCCTAAATAATTTAGTATCATAAGCCTAACTATTAATCCAAACTTCAGTCTGTTTATGAACAAGTTAAAAGGCACAAGGCCTAATGCAGGCATCTGGAGGATTCTAGTGTTCACACCCTCTTTTGCAAGAACTAATAATTTGTTCCCATTTTCTGTTTCCTATTTTTAAAATAGTTTTTGATCCACAAAGAACTTCCTTTCTTAATCCATGATTGCAAAATTTCCTCTGAAGTCTTTGTTGTGGAACTTTTTCAAAAGCCCATTGAAGGTCTAAGTAAGCAATGCCCACAAGATAGATCCTACC